TTTCTTCTAGACAACAACTGGCTGGCACTAACAGTAGCACTGCTAGTGAGTGAATTCCCCTACCTAAAAATGTTCTCCTTTGCATACATAACATTCACCTAATTTGTTTTAACCAAAACTTGCACCCAGCTCGAATCACAAGCTCACATGGGGGTGAAACTGCAGTGATTTAGCTCTGGGTCAGGGCCTCAGAATGGAAAGTGACTTTCATATTTGCTCCCTGTTAAGATTGAAACACACAGACCTGAGCGACTGAACATCTCCTGCTTCTCTCTCTCATCAGGTTATAGTCAATCTCCTAGTACACAGTCTCAGAGACGGGATCCAAGGGTTTTCTGGAACCTGAAAACAAAGGGCAGGGTTTGCACAGGGTCATAGAAACCAGAGATGGGAAACACTACGGGATCATCCAGCCCCTCCCCCTGGGCCCAGTGCAGGACTGGTCCCTACAGCACTTTCCTACTGATCTGTCCAGGCTTGATTTAAATGTGCCAGGTGACGGGGACAACATCCCTTTCCACAAATCTCTTTGATACTGGCTCCAAAGGCTAGTTCACTGTCAGGAAGTTTCTTCACATTCAGTCAAAATGTTTCCTCTTTAATCTCATCCCATTATTCCTGATTATTGCCGTTTGGAGCATCTTAATTAATTCTTCCCCCACGCTGGTGTTTACACCTATCTGCAAAATGGTGATAGCACTTTTTTTCCGTACAGTTTAAGACCAGAAGGGAGCATTAGAACATCTAGTCTGAATTCCTGTATATATTTCACCCAGATACACCCATGTTTGAGCCCAAAGTCTTAGTTAGACTAAAGCATTTCAGTCCTCAGGAGAACAAACTGTTCTGTGCCACAGGCAGAGAACAGGAGGGACTGAGGTACCACTAATGCCCAGTGTCCATGCAATGGAAGGGAATTGATTAGGTGAGAGATGCCAGATGATCCTGGAAGGCGATTCCTGCTCCATGCTTCAGAGGAAGATGAAAATCCCCCAAAGTTCCTTTTTTGCCAATCTGACCTGGAAAAAATTCTTTCCTGACCCAAATCTGGTGATCAGTTTGACCCTAATCATGTGGAAAAGACACATCGGCTAGGTGTCTAAGAAAGATTCTTCCCTATACCATCTCAGAGTCTGTTCCAGCTCATCCAGCCTCCCTTCTCTAGCTGTGGCCAATCTCAGATGCTACAGAGGAGGGCAACCTGTCCCCCACAAATATGCAAGAGGAGAGAGAGGGCCCAACACCTTCCTGACCCCTGAAGATGACTATCTGAAGTCCTGAAGCATGAGGTCTGATTATATGTTGGAATATGTTAGGGTTAAGTAAAGTCCTGGGAAGCTGCTGGTGTGCTGACATTGCATTAGGGGATAAGGGCACAGGCAAGCAGTGTTTCTCCGTTTGATAAATAAGTTGCCATCCTTTTCCCTTCCCTGTTGCTTGTTGAGAATTGATAAGCATGGCAGCTGCATAAGGAATGTAGTTGTCTAAAGAATACCCTTTGTGTAAAAGAAGAGTTATCTCCCCCTCCCTTCCTTTCCCAGCTACATAAACAAGTCCTGCATCATGGCCCCTCCCTCCCTCTCCTGAGAACTGCTGATTAAGGGAACTTGTGACAACAAATTATGGCAAAGAAATATATGTTCAAGGTAAAAATGTGTGTATAATATGCGTAATGCTGTAATCAGTCAATCAGGGTGGGTATAATCATAGTATGGGTGTTTCTATTACTTAATAAGGGTTTTTGGGGTGTTATAGCAGATGTAGGAGTTTACGTACTAACTTAAATAAAAAACGTGTGCTGTAAGTAATCCAGTGCTTACTCGACAATTGGGTCAAGGGGAACAAGTACTGCAGTAAAGAAGCCCAGCTACTCAATCCGCCTCTGGGTCAGCTTGCTCATTCTTCTCTAACATTATAGACATTGCCCTAATGCTAAACTGTGACTGTTATGAGTATGTTAATGGCAATCCTGTTCTCTATTTGCCTCCCAGGGTGCTGGTAGCTAATATTTGTTCAGTGTTTTATAGATGTAAAATCATCTATAAGTGCCACTTATGAGTATAATACAGTATAATGCTCCTTTCCAGCATTTCTCCTTCCTAAGATTCTGCTTTCCACTGGATTTCTCTCTACAGAACTATTTTCCCAGCTCTATTTTTGTACACTTTTTTGTCTGACAACATTTCCAGTCTATGTAGGTCCCTTTCCATGTTGTCTCTCCTCACTGATATTCAGAACCCCTCCTGTGACAGATATTGCAACCCCACGCAGTATCTTTGGGAACCATTGTATGAAATCTGTGAATGGTTTAGGTATGATTGTGTTTTACGCCATGGATGAGGGTTACCACAGGTCCTCCAGAAAGAAAAAACAATGGAGGATTATTGAGGTGAAACACTGAGATCGTAAACAATCCAGAAAGGTACCATGCCTTGGAGCGATATGCATGGACTGGTACAACCTGGGTTACCAGAGACCAGGAGACAAAGAAAGACTTTTGGTAGAAAAGGCTGAGTTTAAACAAACTCTGGGCCTTCGTTTTGATTCAGGAAATGAACAGGATCTTCTCCACATGGGAAGGCCAATGCTGTATGATTTGAAGGGACATTGTTGTACCAGGCTGCCCATGAGGAAGATGGGTGATTTCTGGTATGTTCAATAAGTGTGGAGGAATTTTGTATTTTTTGTGTGTTTTCTCTGTGAAGCTTTTATCCTACTAATAAGGTGCAGTCAGGTGAGAAAGAGTTGGGAGGTAATTTGTAACTGCTGGCAATACACTGTTCATAGCATGCGGAGAGAAAGCACAGCATGGGGGCTGGCCTTTAAGCAGCAGGAGATGGGACAGGGGGGTTCTACCCAGAGACAGGTGATGCCTGGAGCTTGAGGTGTGATTTGGCACTCCTGGAGTGCACCATGGGGAGGGAGCAGGGGCGGGATACAGGTGCAGTTTCCCTTAAATTGTGATGCTCCCTAGCTAGTAGCATCTCCAGATTTCATGGCTGGGCTGTTCCACTGCCAAACAGTTAATGAAATATTAAATGAGAGAGGAGTTAACAGGCACCCTCGGCTACCCCACCCAGCCCGGTATCACCCCTCACCCTCCAGTCCCCTTCTATTGCAAAGGCATTTCACACAGTGACACCAATCAGCACTCACCTCTGCGCTGTGCCCTGGCACTTCGCACCTGCGCCCTCAGGATGATTAAGACCAGGCAGAGCAGGGCCCCCAGGATAATGCAGACGATCACGGGCACCGTGACTCTCCCACTGTCAATCGGAGGACGGCGCGGGGGAGCTGGATGGAAATGAACTAGCAACAGAGAGAGATTATCCTCTGAGAGTCGCGGGGAGGGGGGAGCAGGGAGCTCCCCAGTTACTCATTAAACGGCCCAGGACAGCACGGTAATGGTCTGGGACACAGTCTGTGAATCATGGGGGCAGCTCACAGGCTGATGTTTAAATCATGGGCCCTCCCCTGTCAGCTGGAACCAGCAGATAGGAATCCTCTGGCTCAGCAGGGCCTGCACCTCCCACCCGGGTGTCCTTCGCCCTCAGATGTCACAGGCCATGGAAAGGAGCTCCTTCCCTCAGGCTGCAGCTTGCAGCTCCTCCTCTGTGACCCATCTCCAGGGGAATTTAACCCTTGATGGAGAAGGGGGATGGTTTACCTGGGGTATTTGGTGAATCTGTCATCTGTGTCACACCTGCAAAGGGAAAGGGAGGAGAGTTAGAGCCTGGAGCGAGGGGGAGGTGACGTGTTTGTTACCAGGGGGAACCTCACCTCTGAGAGTCCCTTATTGTCTCCAGCTGTCACCTCCACAAACTCCCTCACAGCAGCACAGGGCCTGTATGTTAGTGATTTAGGGCCCAAGTCCCTTGTGCTCTGTGCAGTGATGAGAGTAACAAACCAGCACACTGGGCCCTGTGAGGGATGCAGGGGTTATGTCGGCTGATGTCTTACCCAATCTAACTCAATAAAGGTTCCACCCCACAGCATCCATGATGCTCTTTCACACAGGAGATGGGGGGGCCTGGTCTGTGACCCAAGGCGGGGGTGGGTGGGCTCATCCATCCTTGTCAAGGCTGCTTCCCCACTTTGAACTTTAGGGTACAAATGTGGGGGCCTGCATGAAAACTTCTAAGCTTAACTACCAGCTTAGATCTGGTCCGCTGCCACCATCCCAAAGCTAATTTCCTTCCCTGGGTAGCCTTGAGAGACATTCACCAATTCCCTGGTGAATACAGATCCAAACCCCTTGGATCTTAAAACAAGGAGAAATTAACCATCCCCCCTCCTTCCTTCCACCAACTCCTGGTGAATACATTTCCAACCCCCCTGGGATCTTAAAACAAGGAGAAATTAACCATCCCCCCTCCTTCCTTTCACCAACTCCTGGTGAATACAGATCCAACCCCCTTGGGTATAAAAACAAGGAAAAATCAATCAGGTTCTTAAAAAGAAGGCTTTTAATTAAAGAAAAAGGTAAAAATCATCTCTGTAAAATCAGGATGGAAAATAACTTTACAGGGTAATCAAACTTAAAGAGCTCAGAGGACCCCCCTCTAGTCTTAGGTTCAAAGTACAGCAAACAAAGATAAACACTCTAGTAAAAGGTACATTTACAAGTTGAGAAAACAAAGATAAAAACTAACACGCCTTGCCTGGCTGTTTACTTACAAGTTTGGAATATGAGAGACTTGTTTAGAAAGATGTGGAGAACCTGGATTGATGTCTGGTCCCTCTCAGTCCCAAGAGCGAATAACCTCCCAAACAAAGAGCACAAACAAAAGCCTTTCCCCCCCCCAAGATTTGAAAGTATCTTGTCCCCTTATTGGTCCTTTGGGTCAGGTGTCAGCCAGGTTACCCGAGCTTCTTAACCCTTTACAGGTAAAAGGATTTTATAGTACTGTACACAGGAGAGCTGTTACCCTTCCCTTTATAGTTATGACAATCCTCCTCCACGAAAATTACAGCATGTAACAGAAACATCTGTCACTCACCTGAGCAATTCACAGCAGCATCCTCCTTATGGTCACAGTTACTCTCATCCCAGGGCTTGGAACAACAGTCCCAGAGAGATGACTCTGTCCCTCTGCAGTTCACCTTCTCCACCCAGATGGAACCATTCCCCTCACCGAATGCAGCCTCGCCCGGGGCAGATACAGCAGATCCACAGCCCAGTTGTTTACACACAACGTTAGCATCCGCCATGTCCCAGGAGTCATCACAAACTGTTCCCCAGGAGCCACGGTACCAAACCTCCACTCTCCCCGAGCATCTGTCCTCTCCTCCCATGACACATAACTTCTCCCTGTCTGGAAATGCAGAAACCTCACATGTTACTGAGACAGCTGGAAAAGTTCTTAGGGACCAAGAGGGAGACCCAGAAAAGCCGAGATACCTGTGCAGCTTGGAGAGTTCGGGCATTCGGTAGACAGGGTCTGAGGTGGTTTCCCTTTCCTTCCTATGGAGAGAAAGCTGAGGTGAGTGGATCGGGCAGTGTGTGCGAATCAGGTTCGAGTAGGGTTTATTAGTATTTCACACCCCTAATACCAGGGCTTTATAAATTGGCTGAAAGACAAAATCTGGGTTATTGAATAATTAATTAGCTACTCAGCTGTTACTCTGGATTTTGCAGTCTTTAAGCAGCTCCATGCTGGTGAGTGTGTCTCTTTATGTAACTGGCAGGACAGTATCTGATTCTCCTCTAGCTCTCCCTGAGACAACCCCCCTAACACCTCTGCCCAGAGATTGGAATGGAAACAGACACCTGAACTGAAACTCACCCTCATTATGGCAGGAACCAACAGAAGAGGGAAAGTAATATTGAGAGGGGGCTGTATAGGAGCTGCAGGTCTGAACTTCCCCACCCGGAAAGGCAGTGTGGTCCAGTGGTTATGGTGCTGCACTAGGACTTAAAAGACTGGGGTTCTATTTTTGTTTCTGCAACAGATCTACTGTGTGACTTGGGCAAGTTCCTTCACCTCTCTATCATCTGTTTCCCCTTCCACTCATCTGGTCTATCTCGACTGTAAACTGTGTATGGCAGGGCCTCTCTCGATTTGTGTTTTGACAGTGCCTGGGGCAATGAGGCCTTTGGGGATTTTAGGTGTTACCATAATATAAATAACACTTGAGACACAGATCTATAGATGATCTTCACAGCCCAAATCTCTGATTATTATTCCTTGGAAGATGTTTAACCAGAAAGGCACACTAATCATGTTCTTTAATGGGTAACACTTCCTGGCTCTTCCAGAGGCCTGAGCCAATGCTCATTAAGGCACCATGGGTGACCTTGGGACACTTCATCTCTCTGTGGCTCCATTCCCTGTCTGTAAAATGAGGGTAATAATGCTCTCCTGAAAGGCTCTGCTGCTGTATGAGTGAGACTTGAGAGATCAAGATTCTGATCCCAGTAACAAGGATTGCGAAGGGCTTAGAATTTGTTCATGCTAATTAACCATTGAAACAATTTACCAAGGGATATGGGGAGTCTCCTTGATATGAAGTCATTAAATCAAGACTGGATGTATTTCTAAAAGATGTGCTCTAGCTCCACTAAAATGTACTGGCTTGATGCAGGAATTACTGGCAGTCTCTTCAGCCCTTAAAATCTGTGATTCCGTGACTTCACTGGGTGTTGGATTAGGCCCTAATTGTGGTTGCGGTGAAATGTATTTCTGTGTAATAGCGATGTCCGTGTTTGTTATTAACAGGCCACATTACTATTTCTAGAACCTCAGATACCGAAAAGAAGTTTGTACCATTGCTGAGAATGTTATATAGCTATAGATATAGATTTATATAATTGTTATATTTTGTTACTTTTCACTAGATCTTTTTATCAAATACATACACATCTATTTATAATGTATATAAATGTGTATGTATTTGATAAAAAGAGCTAGTGAAAAGTAACAAAATATAATAATTACATCAAAATCTTTCAGTGAGCTAGACCTGACTGTTGAATGTGTGTGTGTATATATGTTTGCTATTTACCTTCACAAGCAATATGGGTTTCTTCTACTCTGTTACACGATTGTTGTTTCCAAGGGTCTGACGGGCATTGCCAAAGGGAGCTGTGCTGCTTATCGCACCGAACACCATCCACCCAGGTGGGGCCAGAGCCGCTTCCATGTGTAAACTCTTTCAAAAGTGTCCCTCTGTCTCCACAGTCCAAGTGTTTGCATATAAGTGCCCTGGTGACGGCATCCATAGGACTGTTGCAGACACTGCCCCAAGTCCCACTGTAGAAAACCTCCAGTCGCCCAGCACAGTCACTGCCACTCACCAGTCTCAGATCCGTGAATTCTAGGAGGAAATGCAGAAGTTGGGTGTGAAGTTTTCTGATTCTGAAATACACGAGGGGTTTAACGGCTCAAATCCCAGAGATCGCTAACAACTCTGCCCATTTTTCTACAGAAAAATCAGAGACATTCTTCTGGAGACCAGTGACCTGCCCATGAGCAATGAAATTATTATTTAAAAGACACCATTTACCAACAGTTGCAAACAGTGGTACCCGAGATTCAGAAATCAATGTGACATTTGCAGTATCCCTTGGTATTAACTGTTGGCAATGCTGACTTTTTAATGGTGACCACTGCAAGTGGGTAGGTAGCGGGGAGAGTGAGAGAGAGAAAGGAAAAAAGACATAAACTTTCTGACATCCTCAGCTCACTCCTCAGACACCCATGTACTTCATTAAATCCCCTGATTATCAGACTCATGAGAGCATTCCCAGACCAGACATGAGCAGAGAACTCCTGCGTCCTGTTTGTGTCTGCAGTTGTGCTGGCCCCATCCCCTGGAAGGACAGTCCCAGAGATTGGATTCATTCCCAGAGCAGTTCACATCATCCAGCCAGATCAGCCCGGATCCTTGCCCATCATGAACAGAGACGGTTGCATTGATGGCGTGTCCCCATCCAAGTTGTTTGCAAATGACATTGGAGTCTGACAGATCCCAGGAATCATCACAGACTGTCCCCCAGCTGCCATTGTAATAAATCTCCACTCTCCCGGCACAGCGACCTGCCCCATTCACCAGTCTGATCCGCCTGCTCCCTGCAGGGATAGATCCCAGCTGTTAATGTGCAATATAATGATAACTAAACAGCTTCCATGCAAATCAATGATGATGCTACAATGGCTGAGATACTGAAAAATGTGTGTCTTTATCAAGAAACATAAAGAGAAGAAGTCAGTAGAATTAGGAAATGCTGAAGACTTTGTGAAGAAACTTCTGATAAAAAGCATTTAAAGGGACAGGACCTAACCCTGAACCTTTAGGCATCTGAGTCATCCTTATGGGACAGCTCTTGAAAGTAAGAACAACTAGTGAAGCTAAAGCTTTGCAGAATCAGGTCGTACTTGGAAAACTTGAACATTTTCAAACAGCTCTTATAAGGATGCGCAAGAAATATCATATTAACTAACAAATTTATCAAAAATTCCAATTTTCTTTTAAATTGTTACAGACTTGGGAGGTTCCAGAGGCTTGGAGAAAATCAGACTTGGGACCCATTTATTTTCCAAATAAAGGAAGAAAGGCAGGTGGATACATGTACCTACGGTAAAGTTTAATAGACTTAGGGCTCTAGTCTAATGCTGCTGAAGTCAACAGCAAAGCTCTCCCTGCCCTAATGGGAGCAGGAATGGGCCCTTACTGTGCCGTAATTACCCTGCAACTGGAATGGGCATGAACAATGATTTCAGTGCAGTAACAGTACAGTGCATGATACAGATGTTTATTTAAAAATCTGTTATTTGAAGAAAGCCATTGTTTCTTTACCTTCCCCAGAAAAGAACCATAAGAACATAAGAGCTTCCAGCCTGGGTCAGTCCAGAATTCTGTCTGAAAAAGTGGCCTGTACCAGAGTTGTACCCTGACCATCTTAGCTAATAGCCATTGGTGGACCTATCCTCCAGGAACTTATCCAGTTCTGCTTTGAACCTAGTTATAATTTTGTCCATCACAATATCCCATGGCAATGAGTTCCAGAGGTTAGCTGTGCGTTGTGTGAAAAAGTTCTTCCTCTTGTTTGTATTAAACCTGCTGCCTATTAATGTAATCAGGTGATTCCTCGGTTTTGTACTGTGTGAATGGGTAAATAACATTTCTCTACTCACTTTTTCCACACCATTCATTATTTTATAGACCTCTATCATATCACCCAATGCGTCTCTTTTCTAAGCTAAACAGCCCTAATCTTTTTAGTCTCTCCTTGGACAGAAGCCATTCTGTACCCTTCAACATCCTTGTTGCCCTTCTCAGTACCTTTTCCAGTTCCACTATATCATTTCTGTGGATGGGGCAACAAGAACTGGACATAGTATTCAAGGTATGGGCGGACCATGGATTTATTGTGATAGTTTCTGTCTAATTTTCTATCCCATTCCTAATAGTTCCTAATATAGCATTAGCCTTTTTGATCATTTCTCAATTTTCAGCAGTTTTCAAAGAATTATCCACAGTGACTCCAAGATCTCTTTCTTTGGTGGTAACAGCTAATTTAGACGCCATCATCGTATACGTGTCGTTGGGATTATTTGTTTCCAATGTGCATTGGTTTGCACTTATCAACAATGAATTTCACCTGCCATTTTATTGCCCAGTCACGCAGTAATGTGAGATCCCTTTGTAACTCCTTGCAGCCTGCTTTGAACTGAACTATCAGGTACAAGCTTTGCCACTTTACTGTTCACACCCTTCTCCAGATCATTTATTAATATATTGAACAGCACAGGTACCAGTACAAATCCTTGGGGTGACCCGCTGTTCATGTCTCTCCATTGTGAAAAGTGACCATTTATTCCTACCCTTTGTTTCCAATATTTCAACCAGTTACTGACCCATGAGAGGACCTTCCCTGTATCCCATGGCTACTTCAGTTCCCTAAGAGCCTCGGTGAGGGACCCTGTCAAAGGTTTTCTAAAAACCCAAGTACGCTGTATCAGCTGGATCACCCTTATCCATATGCTTGTTTACTTCCTCGGAGACTGGAGAGGCATGACTTCCCTTTACAAAAGCCTTGTTGACTCTTCCCCATCAAATCATGTTTATCTCTGTGTCTGATAATTTGGTTCTTTACTGTAGTTTCTACCAGTTTGCCTGGTGCTGATGGTAATTGCCAGGATCTGCTCAGAGCCCTTTTAAAAAATCAGCCTTACATTAGCTACCTTCCTGTCATCTGATACAGAAGGTGATTTCAGTGATAGGTTACATACAACAGTTAGTAGTTCTGCAATTTCATATTTGAGTTCCTTCAGGACTCTTGGGTGAATACCATCTGGTCCTTGTGACTTATTACTGTTTAGTGTATCCTTTTGTCTAAAATATCATCTTATTACACATCAATTTGGACTGTACATCAGATTGGTCACCCGAAAAGGATATCTCTGATGTGGGGATCTCCCCTACTTCTTCTGCAGTGAAGATTGATGCAAAGAATTAATTGAGCTTCTTGCAATGGCCTTGTCTTCCTTGAGTGCTCCTTTAACACCTTTGTTATTTAGTGGCCCCACGGTCTGTACGGCAGGCTTCCTGCTTCTCATGTACTTAAAGCAATTTCTAGAGGTAGTTTTTGTGTCTTTAGCAATCTGTTACAATAGTGATGTACAATCAGTAGCAATAAAAATATCATATAATCCTCAATTCCTTTTTCTTTTCAGTGAAGGAAAAGGATGTACTATTAAGATTAGGACATAACAATACCACATTATAACAAAAAGTTTTACTTAATCACCAAGAGAAATAGGGTTATGTATGACTTCCTTTTCCTGTTAATAATAATAATAGAATCTAATTCGGATATAGCACAGTTCAGCGGTAGTTCTCAAAGCAATCTACAAAGGAGGTCAATGTCATTATCCCCATTTTACAGATGGGGAAACTGAGGCACAGAGCGGTGACTGACTTGCTGGAGGTCACCAGCAGGCCAGTGGCAGAGCTGGGAGGAGACCCCAAGTCTCCTGAGTCCTGTTCCAGTGCTCTGTGAAATAGGCCACATTGCCTCCCCCTCTTTTCTTTTTTGATTTTGGACACCCCATTATTGAAGTTTTTAAGATAAGAAGCCACTGTAGTTACATATTTACTGACATGCTCAGAAAATTCTCTCTTCTGCCCAACAAATGTTAGAATGGATATCAATATTTTCCATTGTAAGAATTTTCCATTATTCTTTCAAAAAAAAAAAAAAAAACCCACCCCAAAACCCATCTGATTGTTTTTGTGGTGAATGTGGGGGCAGGGTAGAGGTTACTGCTGTGTACCCTGAACTGTGACTTAAGAATTTGACTTTTAAGATGGTGTCACAGTGTCAGAGGGAACAGGCAGCTCTGTCCCACAGGTGGATATGGTCACAAGACCAGTGGCTGCCAGTCATTAAAGCTGGACGGGGCTGACTGTGGGACAATGGAGCAATCATCATGGGGATGTTTTCCTAGATGGCCTGGCTGGCCAACCAGGAAAACTAGTCTGAGGCAGAAGGAAGACTTCACTTGGCCCTGTAACACAGACCACTGAGCAATATGGTAATTGAGCTGAGACACACACAGGGCGGGTGGGGACTTCCAGAAAAAGCAACTTCACAGAGAAAGGGGAACAGAGTGGGGCAGACAAACTGAGCCCCAGCTGGGTCTCATGAGCACCTTGGTTCTTACAAGAACACAGGCTCATTCTGTTCTTTTCTTGTTACTCCCCAGGGAAGCCCAGCTCACTTAATTTGCAGGGAAGCATAGATTAGATGAGCTACAACACAAGTGTGGGGGGTTTGTTTTTTTTAAACCCCTTTTGCTCTAATACGTTGTTCCAGCTGCTGAATAAAGTGCTTTGTTCTGAGTACGCTGTAGGTCACTATCACGGGACACAAGTTCCCTGGGGGAAGAAATGCTGGTGCCTGAAACCCAGTCGGACCTGCAGGGGGCTAAGCGGTTGGTTTGCACAGGGTAGTGTAACCAGGCCACGCCTAGCGGAGGAAGAATCTCGAGATTCCACCCCAAGACAGGGCAGGGCAAGTGGGCCAGGCCTCACATGGGTGCACATAGAGACACCAGAAAGGGGAGAAAGGTGCAACTAACTCTGTAACCCTGACAATGTTCAATGAAAATAAAAAAAAGTTTGTGAAAATTCCATAACAAGGAAACTGTTTTACATCTGAAAAAGTTTTGATTAAAAACACAAGACAGACAGACAGCGAGGTTGCTGCAGTGCATTAACCTATCCTGTGGCTGTGCTTTTCTCTGCACATAATACTATATTTTTACAACAGAGTTTGATCCTCAGATCCACATATTTTCAAGGTCTGATGTGATCACAGCACAAGTTGGGGAATATATAGGCCCTAGGACAGGTCATATTCCCCTTCAACAAGGACAGGATGTTTGCAAGATTTCATAGTAAGTCACCTCACCTGAGCAAACAACGCTGACATCCTCAGCAATTCCTGCCTGCTCTGCCTCAGATGTGGAGATGATGCAGAGCATCAGATTAGTCTTGTTTCCTGCACACTGGACCCTTCTCAGCCCCACGGGGCCCGTTCCTCGCTCAGACTTAGGGGGGTTATAAGCTTTCTCAGCGACTCTGCACTGGAGCTCCCTGCACACCACGCTAGCATCGTCCATGTCCCACTGGTCATCCAGCACTCTGCCCCACGCACCATGGAGGGAAATCTCAACTCTCCCATCACACCGGCTCTCTCCATTCAGCAGTCTGAGTGATTCAGAACCACCTAGGCACAGGAGAGATGGGAAACACACTGAATAACACTCCCTGTTATACACTAGAAATAATACAGAGTGCACATGAAATTATGGACAGTTTCTCAATAAGAAGGCATAAGCCACTGGTCAGAGTGTGCCACAGTGTTAAAGGGAACAACCTCTGTCAGAAGACACTTATTCTTTTCACTCTATAAGTAGAAGGTGCTATAAGGATTGTAAAACTCTGAGCTTGACAGAAGGGCTTGCTAGTAAACCCTGTAAATGAGTGAGCGAGAGAATTCCTGCAGGTTACTGATTGGGAAAATAGTCTCTGTGTGTGGTGGTGGAATGGCTGCTGAGGTTTGTAGTCACTTTATCCAGGTTTAAATGCCTGGAAGCCAGTGAATGGTGCCTGCACAAGCACTTAGCAGGTGGGTCGCGCATGATTTAGGCAAGTTTGCTGTGAGGAAGTTTGACCAATGGAAGAACAGGGTTCATCGTGGTCAGGAACAAGTTATTGTTGATAAATTCCCTTAGTTCCTTCTGATCTTTGCTCAGTAGGTGGCAACTTTCTTGGTTCACCTTGGTCCAGTGCAGGAGCTCCTAGTGTGAGATAGTTCCTGGCACTGGTGGTTCTGACTGGAGTTGTCCCCTGAAGTGTGGTGTCATCTCTGAGTCCAACATGAGATTCCAGCTGATCAATCCACATCACACTAAGCAGGTTGTGTGTGGGGCGGGGAAGTGGACGTTCTCTGTTGGTGAATATTGTGACGTTCTTGGGATGTGAATCTCAGTCTTTGCGAGTGTATTGGAATCAGTGAATCCTACAGGTGGTAAGTTAGGAATTACTCACCGAGTTCAGACACAGGTGCAGCCAGAAGAGACTGACAATGTCAAAGACAACAGCAGAGTCAGTACAGGGCACACCCACTGGCTGTGTCAGGTACAGTATGTACTAGTATAGCAACCTGACGGGTGCAGTGTGTGTGCAGTGGGTCCAAACAGCTCAAGGATCTTGGTAGCCAAATAACATTTCAAGGCTAAGAGTGAAATCCTGGTCCCACTGAAGGGAATGCTAAAACCTCCATTGACTTCAACAGAGCCAGCAGTTCGCCCTAAGACTGGACCAGGAGAATGCCTGCATGCAGCTAGTGTAGGCAGGGGTGTAGCCATGGGTGGGCTGTGGTCCACCCAGTTAGCATCCAGACCCAACCAAATCAGGGCCGGAGCCCCCCGAATCCACAGGCTGGGACTCCCAACCCCAGCTCGGTGTCCGTCAGCCTGGCCATGTCTCTCTCCTGCCAGCTCCGTGCACTGTTTCCCTGGTTTCTGACCCCAGTGCTAGCCCCATGGGGAGTGTGCCTTGTTGGGGCAGGTCTGGGTGGGGCTCGTGCTGGAGCCGAAGACCGGGGCATCAGCTCCCGGCGCTGGCAGGAAAGGGAAGTGGCTGGGCTGATGGACACTGAGCCAGGGTCGGGAAGGATGGGTGGAGCTCGAGCCCCAGCGGGACCCCCCCTTTGCCCAAAGGGCGCACCTAGGATGACCAGATGTCCCGATTTTATAGGGACAGTCCTGATATTTGGAGATTTTTCTTATATAGTTGCTTATTACCTCCCATCACCTGTCCGATTTTTCACATTTGCTATCTGGTTACCCAAGACACACCCCACAGCCTGTGTGCCCTGGGCAGCCTCAGCTTTAGGTGCCTGCTGAGTGGTAAGGGCTGGCTGGAAGGGGTGGAGGGAGGCAATCCCTCCCTCCCTCCTATCCCCTCCCCAGGGCACTGGATCCCTCCTGCACCCCTCCCTTTGCCCCTCCCATCACTGCCCATCCCCCGAAAGCCGGGGCCCACCCAGGTTTCCTGTCCTAGCTATGCCACTAGTGTAGTGTGAGGGTAGAGAGTAGATTTGGGGCTTTCCGAGGAGGCTCATGGCTATAACTGGTACCACAGCCCCTCAGGAAGGCCAGATGGGATCATGGCAGAAGGAGCTCATACGGAAGGGACCAGGTGTTTTTCCTTAGAAGGGATTCTCCTTCCAGCAACTGTAGGGAGAAATCAGCATCTTCATGTGCTGAGGAGTTCCCTCGGAGAACCAGGGTATGGGCTGGGTAGGTAGTTAGGAGAGGCTGGGCAGGGCTGCAGGGAATTCAGTTAGGAATGCAGGAAGCAGCATCTGTGAGAAGCAGGAGAACTGTGAGGTGAATTGCCCCCAAGGTACAAAGGTATCAGCTGTAAAGAGGAGAGTAGATGTCTGTTGAGAATGCTGGGCAGGGCCCTATAGGCTTAGTCATGGTGTGTAACGGCACCAGTGACTCTGGTCTCTGTCGGAGTCAGTCCTGGAAGCTATGTGTCCATTATTAGGAAGAAGGTTGAAATCCAGGGTTTCTGCAGTAGGTTTCATTGTAAGGATCCCAGTTCCAGCCAGTCAAGATGCCCTATGGAGACTTTGTACATGGATGAGAAGAGGGGGCAGAGAGGGGAGCTGCAACTTCATTAAGCAGGAGGGATCCCTTTGGTGAAGGTAGAAGCAGATGATCACAATGGCCTCTTTGGGTCTTAAAACTCTGCCGATCTATAGACCCAGAAGACAGGCTCCATTTAGCCACAAGGGAACCAGATTGGCTGGACATTAAAATTAAGTTTTCTAGTGAAATATTTTCCCCACAGGGCCCTGGCCACTTTCAGTGCCCAGGATGGATAAATCGGGGTTGTGCAGCATTAGGCTGTTGCCTGTACGACCCCTGCCTCATTCACTTTAGAAAGTGGAAGGCCTGTAGAGAATGAACAGGGGAGCGCAGGAAGAACTAGGATGATCTTATTAAGAGCGGTGACTGTCATTCAGTAAAGCTCAGTTCTGTTCCTGCCTCTGCCACCGACTTCACAGGGTGCAATCCATCCCATCATCCAGATCATTAATAAAGATGTTGAACAAAACTGGCCCCAGGACCGACCCCGGGTCACTCCGCTTCATACCGTCTGCCAACTAGACATGGAGCCATTGATCACTACCTGTTGAGCCCAACAATCTAGCCAACTTTCTATCCACCTTATAGTCCATTCATCCAATCCATACTTCTTTAACTTGCTGGCAAGAATACTGTGGGAGACTGTAGCATGGCGCAGCACTCACTGGCACGGTGCCTCCTGCTGGTTGGTCTGGGAATTAGCTCTTCCAGCTTCAGAGCTCCTCCTGCTGGCCAGTGTCTCCCTTGCTGCTGCCTACTTCTTCCTTTCTTCAGGTACCACCCTTTAGTTCAGGCCCCACGTCCCTCCCAGCCTGCAGTTCCCCTTCTCTGGGGTACTGCCCCACAGCAGTGCCCCCACACTAAGGGATCCTCCCCTTCCTGGGGAACCCCAATTCCCTGAAGCCCACCTTGCCTCAGTGACCGACTGCCTGTCTTCATCTAGCCCCTTTTCTCAGGGGCAAACTCTAGTCTGAAATGGCTGCTCATGATTGGCAAGGGGCTGCTGCCTTTTCCTAGCCTGGCTGCATCGCTGCAGCCTCAGTACCAAAGGCCCTTTTAGCTCAGTCTCAGCCTGGGGACTCGCCTGGCCAGAGCTCCCCAGCTCTGCCTGTCCTTCCCCAGCACTACTCTGTTTGAGATACCCTTCTCTAGCCAGCAGCCAGGTCCTTCCCACTCCACCAGTGGAGTGAGACTCTCCCTGCCTAGCTCCAAGCCCTTTTATCAGGGCCAGCTGCACCCTAATTGGGTGTGGCCACACCTGTGGCTGCCTATCCAATTAGCCTCCCTTGGCTGCTTTCAGCCCCAGCGCTCTCCAAGGGCTGGCTTTTAACCATTTCCAAGCCGGAGCGGGGTGACCGCCCCACCACATATCAAAAGCTTTGCTAAAGTCAAGTTATATCACATCCACCGCTTTTCCCATATCCACAGAGCCAGTTATCTCATCGTAGAAGGCAATCAGGTTGGTCAGGCATGACTTGCCCTTGGTGAAACCATGCTGACTGTTCCTGATCACCTTCCTCTCCTCCAAGTCCTTCAAAATGGTTTCCTTGAGGACCTGCTCCATTATATTTCCAGAGACTGAAGTGAGGCTGACTGGTCTGTAGTTCCCCGGGTTCTCCGTCTTCCCTTTTTAAAAGATGGGCACTGTATTTGCCTTTTTCCAATCATCCGGGACCTCCCCCCCATCACCATGAGTTTTCAAAGATAATGCGCAATGGCTCTGCAATCACATCAGACAATTCCTCAGCACCCTCGGATGCATTAGATCTGGACCCATTGACTTGTGCACGTCCAGCTTTTCTAAATAGTCCTTAACCTGTTCTTTCACCACTGAGAGCTATTCCTCCTCCCCATACTGTGTTGCCCAGGATAGCACTGTGAAAGCTGCCCTTGTCTGTGAAGACCGAGGCAAAAAAAGCATTGAGTACTTCAGCTTTTTCCACATCATCTGTCACTAGGTTGTCTACTCCATTCATTAAGGGTCCCATACTTTCCCTGACCTTCTTCCTGTTGCTAACATACCTGTAGAAACCCTTATTATTATCCTTCAAATCCCTTGCTAGCTGCAACTCCAGTTGTGTTTTGTCCTTCCTGATTACACCCCTGCATGCTCGAGCAATATTTTTATACTCCTCCCTTGTCATCTGACCAAGTTTCCACTTCTTGTAAGCTTCTTTTTTGTGTTTAAGCTCACCAAAGATTTCGCTGTTAATCCAAGCTGGTCGCCTGCCATATTTTCTATTCTTTCTGCACATCGGGATAGTTTGTTCCCGCACCCTCAATAAGGCTTCTTTAAAATACAGCCAGCTCTCCTGGACTCCTTTCCCCCTCATATTAGCCTCCCAGGGGATCCTGCCCATCAGTTCCCTAAGGGAGTCAAAGTCTGCTTTTCTGAAGTCCAGGGTCCATATTTTACTACTCTCTTTTCTTCCTTTTGTGAGGATCCTGAACTCAACCATCTCATGGTCACTGCTGCCCAGGTTCCCACCCACTTCTGCTTCCCCTACCAATTCTTCCCTGTTTGTAAGCAGCAGGTCAAGAGGAGAATGGCCCCTTATTGGTTCCTCCAGTAGTTGCACCAGGACGTTGTCCCCAACACTCTCCAAAAACTTCCTGGATTGTCTGTGTATTGCTGTATTGCTCTCCCAGCAGAAGTCAGGGTGATTGAAGTCCCCCATTAGAACCAGGGCCCGTTTCCTGGAAACTTCAGTTAATTGGCTGAAGAAAGCCTCATCTACCGCATTCTCCTGGTCTGGTGGTCTATAGCACACGCCCACCACGACATCACCCTTGTTGCTCTCGCTTCTAAACTTAACCCAAAGACTCTCAACAGGCTTTTTTCCAGTTTCATACTGGAGCTCTGAGCAATCATACTGCTCCCTTACATACAGTGCAACTCCTCCACCTTTCCTCCCCTGCCTGTCCTCTCTGAATAGTTTATACCCATCCATGACAGTGCTCCAGTCATATGAGCTACCCCACCAAGTCTCTGTTGTTCCAATCACAGTATAGTTCTTTGACTGTGCCAGGACTTCTAATTCTTCCTGCTTGTTTCCCAGGCTTCTTGCGCTCATATATATGCACCTAAGATAACAAGCCGTCAATATAACTAGGGTCAAGGGAAGATGTGGCTGCTCAGCTCTTCTGGAGTCAGGCAGTGTGGTCGGGGGGAATGAGCAGAGGCCACGAGTCAAAACACTTTGGTTTATCCTGTCTCCGCTGCTGACTCACTGGGTGGCCTTGGGCAAGTCACTTTGCTTTTCTCTCTCAGTTTCACCATTTGTAAAATGGAGCTAATAATAATACTTACCCACCTGCTTCCCTGGAGTTTCGTGAGGGTTTATTAATGTCTGGACAGTACTTTGAACACATAAAGCTCTGCAGAAATGGTGAGTACTCTGAAGAATCAGGCACTGAGGGTCTCAGGTTGCTGCCCAATCACCCTGAGTTTGGAATTTTAGGTTTAATCGTTATATGTAAAATTTTCAAAAGCAGCTAAATGATGTAGGAACCTAAGTGCCATTTTCAGAAGTGACTTAGGCAGCAAGAGGGAGAAGTCTGCATGGTTCCTGGGCTCCTACGTTACTGGAGAAAATGGGATTTAAGTCTCTAAGTCACTTAGGCACTTTTGAAAATGTTATTCTTGGGCTTCTAAGTGCCTAAGTCACTTTTGAAATGGGCATCATAAGAGTCTGCTATCTCCTGGGGGTGTTATGAAGACAACTTCATTAATGTTTGTGGTGAATTCTCATACTATGGTGATGAACACCACAGAAAAGTCCATGAAGAAATTAATAATTCTGTATTCAGTGCAGTGTTTGTATGGTATGTAGAGTGAATAAGGCCCTGGATCACATGTTGAATGATGAGGATAAAAAGAAATATTCAACAGCTCCTCCATCCCCTGAGCACCATCCTTCCTGTGCACTGAAGGAGGCAGGAGCTGGGGGTAGGTGAGAATAATAGGATGTGTGCATGCAATTAGACTGTATCATAATGTATATGCACAAGGGAGGGTGGGGGGCTGAATTAACATTACATAGGTAACCTTAACTCTGGTATTTTCTAATTCTTGTGCCTTTGGCTTTGACTAAATCAACTAAATAATGTAGTTTAATTTTTTACTTTTATAAAATTTAAATATTAGAGTGGGTCAACAACCCAAAATTTTTCCTGTGAAGTATTTCAAATGCAGTATTTCAATTTTTAAACAGATCTGAGATACTGGCATGTGGAAATGGAATGAAAATTTTTGTGTAGACTCTAAAATGTTGATTCATTTCAACTTTTGGAAAATGAAACATTCAATTTTCCTTTCCAGTTTTTGGATTTACAGGTTTGCCACTTCCTCCCCCTTTCTATTTTTTCATCTTTTCTTCCATTGTAAAAAGTTAGAAAAAAGTAAATTAGTAAGAACGCAGGGGAAAAACCTTTTGAGTCTTTTCAATTGGGAAGGTGTGAAAAAAGTAAAAAAAAAAAAGCTAAGTGAGTAAAAGCACTACTTTCTCTATGGTGTGCTACCAAAAATACCCTCAGGAACTCACAAGAGAGAAGGGAAATGGTGATTTTCAGCAGTTTATAATTCAGCCAAACCTGGAAGGATTCTCACTGCACTAGGAGAAGGCACCTCCCTGGCCCCAACACTGACCCCTTCCCAAACTGCAAAGGCTCCATCAATCAAGGAAGGTGCGAGAGCTTCTCAAGAAGGTGCCGAGAATATTTTATAATAGAAAGTGTGAAGCAACCTCCATATTGGGAGGCACTACCAGCTCCTCCTCTATTTACCATTGGAGAAGCCTGGGGACAATGAGTTGATGACATTTATGTAACCTGCAGGACAAAGTGCTGCCCCTGCTCCGCTGCCCTGCGTAAGGACAGAGTTGCTGATGTTTTTACTGGAGAATCCAGGGCATTCCCGGGTCATCACTATTGTTTTTGTGATAATATTTACTTTAATTTTATCTTTAATACATTTATTATTATTATACGTGTTTTAGGATCTAGCTCCCCCTCCCCTTGCTGTGCCTGAGGTTCCCCTGCTCTGGGGCCAGTGTCACACACTGAGGGGCAGGTGTCCTTAATCCAGCATTTCTCCTGCACTTACCTGAGCAAATCACACTGGCATCATTGTCATGTGAGCACTGAGAGGCCCCCAGAGCAGTAACAGGGCAATGGCCCAAATGGGGTTCAGTCCCTTTGCAGTTAAATGTGTCTGTCCAGACAGAGCCAGTTCCCTTCCCAAAATACGCTTCTCCTGGAGCCAATACAGCGAATCCACAGTCGAGCTGATGACAGAGAACGTTGGCGTCCGGTAAATCCCAGCGTGAGTCACAGAGGGTTCCCCAGGCACCAAGAACCTGGATCTCCACCGTCCCTGAGCACGATGTGCTGCCATTCACCAGCCGGAAACCTGTGTGCCCTGGGGAGAAGGGGTTTAGAGAGGGAGCCTTGGAACTATTTTATACCAAATAGTAAAAGAAAGGAAAGTCCGGTGGCATTTGATCCCTTTCTAATTATCTTGGCTTGTTTGGGGGTTTGATCCAACCCTATTAAACCCAACTCCCTACTCAGCAAGATCATTACATTGCTTCACCCTAATCTAGAATACACAGAACTGGGATTTTAAAGACATTGTGCTGAATTCTTACGTGAGCATATGACACCAGCATCATTTGTGTGTGAGCACCTCTGATTCACTTCTGATATCCTGGGACAGGAGAGCAGAAGAGACTCATTCCCCACACACTGGAATTCTTCAGTCAAGATCAGCCCTTGTCCTTCTCCAAAGTGACCTCCTCCTGGGATAGATACAGCTATTCCACACTCAAGTTCATTACAGATAATGTTGGCAACTTTGAGATCAAAGTGTGCATCACAGACTCTGGTCCATGTATTTCCACGTTTTATCTCCACACGTCCTGAGCAGGCACTGTCTCCTCCAACCAGCCGGGGCTTAATGTGTCCTAGAAAGTCAATGAAGGATGAAAATTATAAAGGGGGCTTTGGGAGTTGGGGTACTCCACTGGTATAAAGCTTTGCCTAAAAGTGAAGGCAGCAATAGAAATAAAAAGGCAATATATTAAAAAAATGGAAAAAGTGGGAATTAGAGCAAATCAATATACATTAGAAGTTAGGATATGAAGAAAACTGATAAGGGAAGCTAAAGACATCAGGATAAACTCTGTGACTGGGAGGACTATGAAAACTAAGCAGTTTTAAAAGTATATTAGGAACAAAGAAACAAACAAATCCTAACAATGCAGTAGGCCCATTAGAAATGGAGATGGTAAAATTGATAATAATGAGGCAGAAAAGGCAGAAGCGTTCAATACAAATTTCTGGTTTTGAACAGCAGCACAATGTCTATTCATATCCTGTGAAGAAGATGAATCTCTCTCCAATCTATTGGGACCTAAGGAGCATGTTAAATGGCATTTACAAGGAATCAACAGAAGGCGTGAATAGCTGATAAAACCACAGAATAATAGAAATGTAAGGGTGTGTGACGGGTCTGGCACCGCAGCGCCCCTTTGTGGCAGGGAGGGTGGGGTGCCAGGGCCTTGCCTCTCAAGTTTCCCAGCCTGCCTTCTTTAAGGGTGTCCCGACGGGGCCTAATGGCAGGTTCCCACGTGCTCGACCAGAGTGTCAGGGCAGCGTGGCCTAATGGCCAGAGTCCATATAAACCTGCCCCGAGTACCAGGGCAGCGTGGCCCAATGGCCAGAGTCCATCTTTCCCCCTCTCAGGTGGGGAAGTGTCGCCTAATGGTCGGGGGAGTAGGGGGACCCGGGCCCACCCTCTCCACTGGGTCACGACCCAGGGCTCTCCTATTGGCGGGGTTCCGCTTGCTGTTGGCTCGGCGGGGATCCACCCGCAACACACCAAGTGTCAGTGCTGCTTTAAAGCGGCTTGTCGCTAAAGTTCCCCTGGGTCACTTCCTACCCTCAACGTCGTATTCTCCACTCCGTGTGTGTGTGTGTGTGTGTGTGTGTGTTTCCGTTCCATTCCCCTATGTCGGGTCCTCCGTCTGGGACGCAGGGTACATGCCGGCTGGGCTGGCTCCTGGAGCGTTGGCTGTCCCTCCTCGGGACCTGGCTGTGTGCATCCTTCTCCTCCGGTGGTCAGCCCAGACTGAACAGTTTTGCAGGCTTTTATACCTAGTCTCCAGTTGGAGCATGCCCAGCAGGGCTTCTGGGGTGGGGCTTCCTCTGCCAGGAAGGAAGGGTTAACCCCTGTGGCGCCAGTGCAGGGCCGCTCTGCCCCGTCACATATTCCCCCCCTTTAAAACCAGGGCTGGGGCCAGCGATCTCTGGGACCTTTCTTCCCCCTCCCCTTCCCCGAGGTGGGAAAAGAAGTCCGCATTCCCATGGGCCCTCCCCGGCCAGTGTGACACGTGGAAGGAATAGGGTTGGAGAGACAGATACCACCGCATGATCCGTGTATTCGCTTCCTTCATGCTATTGATCCATCTGAGGGGTGCGTGATGCATCACCAAGGAGAAAGTGTTCCCTAACAGGTAATACCTCAGTGCATGAATCACCCATTTAACCGCAAGGGCCTCCCACTCTATGGTGGAATACCGGGTTTCTCGGGGAAACAGCTTATGGCTTAGATACAAGATGGGGAGCTCTTCCCCCTCCTCCTCTTGGAACAACACGGCTCCCAGCCCCACCTTGGAGGCGTCAGTCTGGAGAATAAAGGGCTTTGTGAAGTCTGGCTGTCTCAGCACAGGCTCCCGGGTTAAGTGGTCGCGCAGGGCACCGAAGGCCTCTTCACAGGCTTTTGACCACTGGACCTTCTTGGGCTGGGAGCTTTTTATCAGGTCTGTGAGGGGGGCCACGAGTGTGTCAAAGTTGGGTACAAACCGTTGGTAGTATCCGGCTAGCCCTAAGAACTGCCGAACTTGTCTTTTTGTCGTGGGCGTGGGGTAGCTTTTCAAGGCCTCTACTTTGTCCACCAAAGGGCGGAGTCTTCCTCGGTCCACCGTATAGCCTAGGTAGGTCACTTCTCGTTGGCCCCAGTGGCATTTGGCCGGGTTTGCAGTGAGGCTGGCCTTGCCCAGGGTATGCAGCACGTCAGCAAGGTGGTTGAGATGTTCCTCCCAACTAGAACTGTAAACGACGATGTTGTCGATGTATGCTGCGGCGTATGAACTGTGGGGGCTCAGCACTTGATTCATAAGTCGCTGGAAGGTGGCCGCGGCCCCGTGTAATCCAAAAGACATCATTGTGAATTGGAAGAGGCCGAAGGGTATGGGAAAAGCTGTCTTTTCTCTAGAGATGGGTGTCAGAGGGATCTGCCAATATCCCTTGGTCAGATCTAGGGTGGAGATGAATTCAGCCTTCCCCAATCGTTCCAGCAGCTCATCCACCCGCAGCATGGGATAGGCATCAAAACGAGAGATCATGTTCACCTTGCGAAAGTCGATGCAGAATCGGACTGTCCCATCTGGCTTGGGGACTAGTACTATTGGGTTCCGCATTCGTTTCTTGACTCTTCGACCACTCCTAGGGCCAACATCATCTCGAGCTATTTTCGCACATCTTCCTGGGAAGGGGCAGGTGACTCTCCCTCACTTTGTGGCCGGGGAGTGTGGCAATATGGTGGCTAGTCAATGTAGTCTTTCCTGGCTGGGTTGACAGGACTGCGGGGAAGGCTGCTACCAACTGACGTACCTGGTCCTGCTGTACCGGTTTGAGCTCCAGGCCTATTGCTGCTGCCTCTGGTTCCTCCAGTTCACCCGCTAGGGGCCGCAACTCGGGTTCAGGAGGATACAGGGCAATCATCATGCCTTTTTGGTCTCTCCAGGCCTTGAGGAGGTTCACATGGAAGACCTTCATGTCTTTCCTCCGCCCCGACATCCGGACTTCATAGTCAACAGGCCCTATTTGCCTGGTCACCTCGAAGGGGCCTTGCCACTTCGCTAATAGCTTGGAGTCGGAGGAAGGTAACAACAAGAGGACTCGGTCCCCCGGCTCAAAGCTTCTCATCTTGCCCCCTTTATTGTACTGAGCTTCTTGATTGCGTTGGGCCCTCCCCAGGTTTTCGCACGCCAAGGTGCCTAACTCGCGGAGCCGTTCCCGGAGATGGAGGATGTATTGGATGGATCCTCGGACCCGAGTCTCTTGTTCTTCCCATGTCTCTTTCAGGAGATCTAAGATCCCCCAGGGTCTCCTCCCATAGAGGAGTTCAAAAGGGGAGAATCCCGTTGAAGCCTGTGGTACCTCTCTTACGGCAAAGAGGAGCGCAGGAAGTATCTTATCCCAGTGCCGGGGGTCATCTTCCACAAACTTTCTCAGCATGGATTTCAGGGTGCCATTAAATCTCTCTACTAACCCGTCCGTCTGTGGGTGGTAGACCGAGGTCTTCAGCGCGCAAATATTTAACAGCTGGCATAATTTCGCCATCAACCTAGAAGTTACATTAGTCCCTTGGTCCATCAGTATCTGTCGGGGCAGCCCAACCCGGGCAAAGATATGCAGGAGCTCATTGGCGATGATGGGAGCCATGGCATCTGTGGTGGGGCGGCTGCCCCACACACGGAGAGTGTGGGCTGCGGCAGGCCTGGGCGCCTGTGTAGATGCGCAGCCAATCCGAGCAGGGCGTACTGGGAGCCAATCAGAGGACAGATTGGGGCCAGCCAATCAGGGCCCAGCTCAGCCATATAAAAGACTGTTCAGAGCAGGAGCACTCAGTCAGTCCCAGGCCTTCAGAGGGGAAGGTCTGTCTCCAGAGCTGGGAGGCCAGCACCACGGACAGCGCAGTGCAGGCCAGCTTCAGAGAGTGGGAGAAGGCCCTGCTACGTAGCCTGCCAGGTGGCAGGTCGGGAAGGAGAAGGCCTAGCACAGAGAAGGGCCGTTGGGGAAGTGGTCCAGCGGAGTAGCCAGAGGAGGAAGGAGAAGGAAGACAGCAAGACTGTCGCTAGAGGGCCTCTGGACCGGGACTCAGAGTAGTGGGCGGGCCTGAGTCCCCCCCACCCCTTTCCCCCTTATTGTTCTATTGGGCCATACCCTCAGCCATAGGCCGCAGGGAGTGGCCGGCCGATACTACACCAGATCCTTGACCAGGGGGATCGGACTTGAAAGTGTAAGCCTGTGGGCCATCCAACCTCCCCCAGAAGGGGGTGTGAATGAACAAGGGGACACTGTCGGAGGACAGTGTTCCAGAAGAGGACGCTGAGCGTTGGGAGCAATGCGAGTCCGTACGCCAACTGAAGGCGAGACGACAGGCGGGACGTCACCAGAAGGGGGCGCTCTACTGGACCAAACCAATTCCCCGAGACGACCGGTAGGAGGCGCCACAGTGGTGAGTCCAAACCCTGTCACAGCATCCCATAAGGGTACTGCCTCTGGGTATCGTGTGGCATAGTCGACCACAACAAGGATGTACTTATGACTGGAGCTGCTCCTTTCCAGGGGCCCCACCAAGTCCAAGCCAATCCGCTCGAACGGCGTTCCGATCACCGGCAGAGGCACGAGGGGTACTTTTGGGACCCGTTTTGGGGCAAGAGGTGCAGTAATCCCGTACTTCCTGATGCATGCCCGGCCAGAAGAACCTCTGGGCCACCTGTTGTAGGGTTTTCTCCCTCCCCAGATGCTCAGCTCAGGGTACTGTGTGGGCCAAGTGGAGCAGGTCCCACTGGAACCGCTGCGGGACCAACAGCTGGTGTAGTTCTTCCTGCGTTTGGGGTTCCTGGACCACCTGATAGAGTAGATCATTATGGATCTCGAAGCGGGGTCCTTGATGCGGGCGTCCGGGTGGGTCTTTTTCCCCAGGGGCACCCATCGCCTACTCCCAGGCCTGAGTGAGGGTGGTGTCCCCCCTTTGTTCTTCCAAGAAATCGGCATTGATGTACAGCCACCTCTGGCCCTCTTCTGTCCGGGTTTCAGTGCAGGTTCGGCCTTCCTCATCTACCTCATGATTCCCCGAAGGCCCCTCCAGGGGGTTGTCTGGTGGGGTTTGGCCTAGTAGTCCCGGTCTTTTGGCTTGGCCTCCTCTTTTCTTCGCTGGTCGGGTACTCCACTCTTGCAGGAGTGCAGCAAAGCCCGGCCAGTCGCATCCCAGGATCACTGGGTAAGCTAATTTTGGTGCCACCCCCACTAGGCACCACCCTCCCTGCTGTGCTGCCTCAAGCTGTACCCAGATGGTGGGATAGGGCTTCACATCTCCATGGATACACTGCAGGCATATGGGGGCCCCCACGGGCCCAGTGGGTTCTACCAGCCCTGACCGGATGACGGTCTGGCTACATCCGGAGTCAACCAAGGCCATGGTAGGCGTCCCATCCACTGGTACAAGAATCTTGCCCGGTCCCCACTTCCGGGCACGTTGACCAGCGGTCCACACCTGCCCATAATTACAGTCCATATACGGGCATTCCCTCTGGAAATGCCCTATCTGTCCACACTCGTAACACAGCTCCCTCTTTCTTTCTTCCGGTGGGGTGTTCTGGGGATGCTTTGTCTTCCCGGCGAATCGCCTAGGCTCCACGTGAGTTTCGCCACTGGAGGCTCCCTCGAGGTATGGGGCGGTGGGATCTCTGAGGGCTGCGAGCGTAAACGGGGCTTCCCCCTTGCGGGTTCCCCATGCCATGGCCGAGTTCTGTTCACCCGGGGTCCCCCCTTTGTAGCCAGTCTTCTGTTCTCCCTCTGTGGCCAGGTAATCCTCCATTAGCGGGGTCGCTTCCGTGAGGGTCTTCGGGTGGTGCCACTGCACCCATTCCCTCCCCCCAGTAGAGAGAATCTGCAAGAACTGCTCCAAAGCCACCGTCTTGGCTACTTGGACACTTGTGTGGCGTTCTGGCTCGAGCCACCTCCAGCTAGGGTGACCAGATGTCCCGATTTTATAGGGACAGTCCCAATTTTGGGGTCTTTTTCTTATATAGATTCCTATTACCCCCCGTCCCGATATTTCACATTTGCTGTCTGGTCACCCTACCTCCAACAGAGGTCGTGAATTCACTTCGCCACGACTCAAGGCCTAGCCCCCGGCGCATATCACTCTCGGTGGAGCCGCTGCTGGTAAGTCTTGGGGCTGATGCCAGTTTGGTCCAAAATGGCCGCCTTGACCTTGGAATAGTCCAGTGCCTCCTGCGGGTCGAGGTTACGATACGCGGCCTGTGCCGGGCCCGTCAGGTAGGGAGCTAGAATAGTGGCCCAATGTGCGTTGGGCCACTGGACGGCAGTTGCAACCCGCTCGAAAGTCACCAGAAAGGCCTCGGGGTCATCCCCCGGCCCCATCTTTGTTAGGCGCACTGGTAGTCCCCCGAGACCATAACCAGCACTGCCGCTTGCCACGCCTAGGGGAGGACTTGGTGCATGTCCTACCAACGTTGCCATCTGCTGAAACAGTCGCTCCTGGCTGGCTTGTTGTTGGGCATTCAGCTCCCGGATCAGCTGTTGCTGCTGTTCTTGCTGCTGCGCTGCTTGCAGCTGCTGTTGTGCTGCTAGCTGTTAGAGCAACTGTGCTTGCTGCTGCTGCTGCTGCTGCACCGCCTGCTGCTGTTGGTTCTCCAGCAGCCATTTCAGAAGTTTCTCCGGTTCCATCTTGGGTGTCTGGGTCCTTATTTCAGGCCCTGATTGATGCCTGCATTCTCAACCCAGTTGTGACTGGTCTGTCACCACAGTGCCCCTTTGTGGCAGGGGAGGGTGGGGTGCCAGGGCCTCACGTCTCAAGTTTCCCAGCCTGCCTTTTTTAAGGGTGTCCCGACTGGGCCTAATGGCAGGTTCCCACGTGCTCAACCCGAGTGTCAGGGCAGCGTGGCCCAACAGCCAGAGTCCATATAACCCTCCCCGAGTGTCAGGGAAGTATGGCCCAACGGCCAGAGTCCCTATAACTCGCCCCGAGTGTCAGGGCAGCGTGGCCCAACGGCCAGAGTCCATATAACCTGCTCCGAGTACCAGGGCAGCATGGCCCAATGGCCAGAGTCTATATAACTCGCCCCGGCTCTCTGGACAGCATGGCCCAATGGCCAGAGTCCATCTTTCCCCCTCTCAGGCGGGGAAGTGTCACCTAATGGTCGGGGGAGTAGGGGGACCCGAGCCCACCCTCTCCACCAGGTCACGACCCAGGGCTCTCCTATTGGTGAGGTTCCCCTTGCCGTTGGCTCGGCGGGGATCCACCCGCAACATGCCGAGCATCAGTGCTGCTTTAACGCGGCTTGTCGCTAAAGTTCCCCTGGGTCACTTTCTACCCTCAACGTTGTATTCTCCACTCTGTGTGTGTGTATGTGTGTGTGTCTCCGGTCCGTTCCCCTCTGTCGGGTCCTCCGTCTGGGACGCAAGGTACGTGCCGGCTGGGCCGGCTCCTGGCTCCTGGAGGGTTGGCTGTCCCTCCTCGGGATCTGGCTGTGTGCGTCCTTCTCCTCCGGTGCTCAGCCCAGACTGAGCAGTTTTGCAGGCTTTCATACCTACTCTCCAGTTGGAGCATGCCCAGCAGGGCTTCCGGGGCGGGGCTTCCTCTGCCAGAAAGGAAGGGTTAACC